GTGTGGTCTTGTCGCTCGCCCCACCCCAAACTACACCAGGGGGGGGAAAGGGAGGGGTGTAGTTTGGCTGGCTCTTGGTTGTCTCTACTCGCTACCTTAGCGAAGAGACGTTAAAATGATATTGAGAGAGAGGGACTGAATTGCGCAGATGCTCGGTATGTTGGAGTTCACTTGCTGTCGTACCACCGTTGTTGCGAGCATTTAAGTCTCTGTAAGTGCTTGAATGTAAATGCTCGTCGCTCCGTACCGGACTAGCGTGAAGTGGGCCTTTGCGTCCAGCCTTACACCCGATCCCAATGTTTAATCAGGCCACACCACAACCCAGCCACACCGCCTTGCGGCTCGCCTGCCAGTCTCAGTCTAGCCACGTCTCTGGCTTCTTTGGGTCCTCGCTTTCTATCAGCTCCGTCGTACTCTCGGCCTAGTCGGGCCTTGCCCTTACCACAGAATGTACACTACTTTGACCGCATAACTCGGGGCCTTCGGTTTTCTCTCCGCACCGCCCGGGACCTGGGGCCCCGGCCTGAAAAGGGTGGGGCTGTGTGGCAGACGCCTCCGTGCCTTGATGGGTAGCGTTGCCAGTCTAGCTCTCCACCATCGTGGCCAAACAGGTGTGATCAAGACGCAGTCCGGCTTCTCCTCGGCAATCTTGTGCACTACTCGCCCCATCTGGTCGAACGGGGGGTTAAGGTACAGCAGGCCCTGGCGACTCCACTTTCCCCAGTCTTGAGTGAAGGCATCCACCGCTAGGGCGTTGGGGCTCCAATAACGCGCAAAGAAGCGTCCTGGTACTTTCGTAGAAAACTCGTCCGCAAACACATCTACCGTAGGCCTGCTTCCCTGCAGGCATGGTTCCGCCCACAAACTTGCGAACACCGCGTCGTCCAAACACCACTGCGAGCTGTCTTCGAACTTGGAGAGCGTGTCTGCATACTGCTGTTGCTGTTCCGAGCGGGGGTGCCAGACTAGCTGGACCTCCAAGTCCCACTCCGCGCACTTCATGTACAGCTCGTCTACTCGCTGCAGGCACGGGCCCTGCCCTTTCATGCCTAGCACACACAGGGTTGCGGCCTGGCTGTCGGTGTGATACTGCACCGACCTTCCTGCTAGTAAGTGCGGACCCTCACACTTAATCCAGTCGAGCGCTAGCGCCACTGTGCGAAGTTCTCGTTCCGTGCTGGACATTTCCCCCCAGGCCATGCGCTCTGACTCTTCCGGGGTGAACGGCACTCGCATCTCACTCGCTTCTCCGTCTCCCAGTTGACGGTCTGGTAGGTATGCGGCGTAGGCTTTCTCAGAGGCGTCCCCTGCCACCCTGAGCACCAGGGCTGGCCCGCGTCGCCACCACGTCTTACCGTTCTTGAGGCGCAGCAGGGTTAGGAAGAGCCGTGCCCTAGACAGGAAAGTGGCTGGGTCCCCCACCGCTTCATCCCAGTGTGCTGCTCCTGCTGCCGCCCGCCCAACCACACGCGCGTGGAGCGGCGCTGTAGCCACCGCCGGGCTCATGGCCATGATCCGGCCGGCCACCCGTGCCACCTCCCTGGCTGTGATTGAATCCGGTCCCGCGGTCTCCAAGAGCTCTACCGATTCGGCCAGCTGGCGGACTTTTTCCTCGGGTACTTCGAAAACCTCGCGCTGTGCGTCGACCATGAAGCCTAAGAACTTGACGCGGTGGGACGGTCGCAGCTGGCATTTCTCAAGGCTCAGGGTGAAACCCAGCGCCGTGAGGAGGTCGACGACTGCTCGGCATAGGCGCTGTGCAGCTGGGAGTGTCCTCGCTGCCAACGCGCAGTCGTCGATTAAGTACGCCAGGTCTACGCCTCGCTCCCGCATCGGTCGAAATAGCTCCTGCTTCAGCAGGCTGTAGACCCAGCAGGCCGGGGCGAAGCCGAACGCCATTACGAGCCAGTAGTGTAGGTCGCCTTCCCATTCGAAGGCGGCGAAGCGGTACATGTCCGGGTGCAGCAGGAGGTTCCAGTAACCGCTCTTGTCGTCCGTTGTGAAGAGGAAATCGTCTTTTCGCAGAAAGCCTGGCAAGTCCGAGATGTGTTCGTATTTCAGCGGCGGTATCTCCATGAAAAGGTTAGGGTACATGGGATTCATGCATAGGCGCAGCTTCTTGCCTTCCACCACCCGTAGGCCGTTGACGACCGTCGGTGGTCCCCACGCTGAGGGCCACTTGCGCATCACCCCCACGTCCAAGCATTTCTGAATTTCGGAGGTTACGAACGCGCTATGCAGGCTGGTGCTGCGGTGATTGGGAAACTGGATGGCGTGCGGCATTCTGCCGGTGAGGTAAGTTGCCGGGTCTACCTCGCGGCCAATGGCTTGGCGGATCATTTGGAGGACTATACGGTGCTTCTTGCGGCGCTGTGGGGAAACTGAGGGCCCCAGACCGGGCGTTCCAACCCAGGTGAAACGTACTCCTTCCTCTAAGAAAGCTAGCACCAGGCGCTGGTTGCGAGTTAGTGACCGTGTCCCGTTGTGAAGTTCAAAGTAGCAGCGCCATAACGGGCTGCATGCTCGCGGGAGGCCTGGCTGAAAATCGGCTGGGTCTCGAGCTGCACTTCGTACTTCCTGTTCGAACGTCGCTTCCTGCATCAGCTGCGTGTCCGGGGTCTCAGCCAGTGTTGCTGCGGTGATACCGAGCCATGCCCGGTTCAGCTGTTCTGCTGCGCGTGGTAGGTCCGTCTCTGGTGGCGCGGGCAACGCGATCTCAGTCTGGGGGTTGTTGGCGACCGGCACTTTCTTAAAGAACAACAGCAGCGCGTCTTCTTCCGGGTCGCACCAAGAGCCAGCGTCCTCGCCGTCTAGCTCGAGAGTTAGGGTTTTTGTCTCGGGTTCACCTTCTGTTCCGCGCGATCCCTCGTCCGATCCGATCCGACTGGGGTCAATGCCTAGCATTCCTTTTCGCGCTCGCTCCGGGCAGTCGCTACTCCCAATCGCCGTCTGCAGTCAGGTCAAGGATAACAACCACATAAACGTCCGCGCCTTACTAGGTCTTAACGGTAGCCACGAGGTACCGCGGCCTGACTCTCAAGCTCTAACGCCCACAAATCGCGCATTCGAACCACAGCACAAGGTGTGCTAACGCTAAGTCTGCCTTAGCTTCCCGAACTAATTCACCAAGTTCCGCTTATTCCCGCTCGAGTTGGGCCCTGCCTGTCTCTTCGTCGCCAACTCAGTCACCAAGCGCCCTACAGTCCGCTGGAGGTCGTCGTGCACGAATTTGCAGCCTGGGGGGCCGCCCATAGGGCATTGCTTTCCCAGGAGTGCCACGTTGCAGCAAATCGCCGGGCGAAGGGACTTGGCCGTCCGGAATAAAGTGTCGTTATCCGGGCACAGCTCTGCCGGGAGGTTGCGCCTCCCGAGCTCGTCTCTCACTGCGTCGAAGGCCGCCTGCCATGGCGCGGGCCCTTGCCTGCCGCGTCCCGCTAGGGCGTCGTTTCGGCGGCCCCCGCCCTGCCGGCCCTCTTCCCCCGCTGGCCCGTTGCCGATGCTGCTTCTCATACCTGCCGCCTGGCCTCCGCTCATCGCCCCACCCCGGGGGTTGTCCTGGGTGCGTGAGCCCCCAGCTTGGCTCTCTTGCCAACCGCTTTGGAATTTTGCGTTGGCGAGAGTTGATCGCAGAAGTCTGACCGTATCGTCCACCCGTTCCAGCAGGCGCCAAAGGCAGCCCAGTTGTGGGCCGTAGCCTTTCGCCCACATTGCCTCCATCATATCTGCTTCGCAAATGGCGTCTCTGGTGACCTCGTTTTCTGCGGCCAGTAGCCAAGCTCGTTGCGCTGCCCCCAGTTGGGGGTGATTCGGTTTCAGCAGGCTTAACGCGCAGTCGGCCAACTCTAACCCGCCCAGTAAGGTGGCCAGCATGTTGCTGACCGTGTAGATGTCCGCGTCGTAGGTCGCGGCATACGTAGTCAAAGGGGCGAGCAGCGCGTGAAGCTTCGTAGTGAGGCGCTCCGATATCCACTGGGCGTACGACAGCCCCAACGGGCTTGAGAGCGCTGTCTTGAGTTGTCGGATGAGGAGCTCCCCTACCCCCCGGATAACTTGTTCCACCGCCGCCGCGATGTTTGTAAGCGGGGCTCTGCTGCCCAATGACATCAGTACACCGCCCACAATAGCGTCTGCCAGGATGTGGGTATGTGTGGTGCCTCCCAGTTGGCGTTCGCGCGTACTAAGGTCTCCCGATGGCG